AATACAGGTTGCAATTTCTGCTTAAAACATTTAGAATAAAAAGATTTAATCTAAACCTTTAGTTTCTCATACACTAGGATGGTATCCATTGTTGCAATTTGACTGGCTGCAATAGGTCTGCTCTTGCATTTGACTAATTACGATTATTAGAAACCAGTTTCTATCCAATAAAATCGCATGTTACAGCTACGAAAATACTCAGTACTTTCTCATGTTACTGAGCGGAGGGCCATTGTTATCAGGAAATGGGTGATGACGGATAATCTTTAAAATTCTTTTAAAAATAATTTCCCGATAATGTAAACAATGGAATTTAAAAAGAAACAGGTAGGTGGATATTATGAAATCTTACAATTACCGAGTGAGTGAGTGAGTGAGTGAGTGAGTGAGTGAGTGAGTGAGTGAGTGAGTTAGTGAGTGAGTGAATGAGTGAGTGCATGTGTGCGTGAGTTGGATTTAATGTCACTTTTAACAATATTCCAGTTATATTGCGGCGTGTCAGCTTGATGGGAGGAAAGCCCAAAATGATGCAGGTCTCAGACGTTTACCACTTCGGTGATACCCACGAGCACGGGTATGGTGCTGACAAACCTAGAAACATAATCGGGGTGAACCGTTTGTCAAGCAAGACTGAATGAGGGACATAGTACATGTAAATGCATTTCTTAAACAGAACTTTCTTATCTATAAACAGTAGGTTTAGACCTCTCAAATGGTGTACAACATGTAGTAGCAAAGATATTTTGCAAAGCAGATAATTCCTTGATAAATGTAGGCTTCATCTATCATCCCAGAGTCTCAGGGAACTCACCAGAATAATAAAAGCTTCTGGTTGACTGGTGTTGAAAGAGCGAAATAATTGAGTCTTGACCATTCAAACAATCTGGTGACTGACAACCTAATCATCGATCTACGGAATTAGGATACCACGTCAGCATTGTGCCTGGCCACCCAATCCTGTTAGTCGCTCTTTACAACAAGCATAGTCGCCTCCATTGACAAGCATGGGTTTGCTGAAGGCCAATTTGAAGCTGGATCTTAATGGGTTTGAGCCATTAAGTGGCCTCTTACACAAGCATAGTTGCTGGGGACCAATTTCACTACTTCTCACATTTTTTTAGTGTTATTTTCTTATGATTTGTTATGTCTTGGTTTTGTATCAGCAGGGGGGGTACCTTATCACTGTACTTCTTGGTGGGCAGACTGACCCACATAGCTGTATTTAGGGTGCCTCTGATCATAGTCTACTTCTTGGTGGGCAGACTGACCCACATATAGAAATGGGCTCCGTCCGTCCGCCTGTCTGTCACGTTTCGTTTCGAGATCATAACTCAGAAACCGTTCACTATTTTTTCATGAAACTTTGCAGATATAGAAATGGGCTCCGTCTGTCCGCCTGTCTGTCACGTTTCGTTTCGAGATCATAACTCAGAAACCGTTCACTATTTTTTCATGAAACTTTGCAGGTCTGTCAATTACATGCTCAACTGGTGCCTTTTGCTATTTAGAAATTTAAGACATTTTTATTTTTTACATTTCCATGGCAACAAGATGGACTTAGGTTCTGTGAGGGTAGGGTTCGTTTCCGGAGCATAACTCATAAACCGTTCAATATTATTTCATGAAACTTTGCAGGTTCGCCAGGTACATGCTGAACTGGTGCCTTTTGCTATTTAGAAATTTTAGAAATTATTATTTTTTACGTTTCCATAGCAACAACATGGATTTAGGTTCCAAACTCTTCTTTTTTTACAATTTCCATGACAAGTTCCACCTCGGTTAAAAAAGGTTAGGGTTTGTTTAGATTTAATTATGTCATAAATTCTGCAACAGGGGCGGGGGATATAGCCACACTAGTAGCAAACACTTGTTGTATTTAGGGTGCCACTGATCTTTGTACTCAATGGTGGGAAGGCTGACCCACATAGTTGTATTTAGGGTGCCACTGATCTTTGTACTCAATGGTGGGAAGGCTGACCCACATAGTTGTATTTAGGGTGCCACTGATCTTTGTATGTCATGGTGGGAAGGCTGACCCACATAGTTGTATTTAGGGTGCCTCTGATCTTTGTACGTCATGGTGGGAAGGCTGACCCACATAGTTGTATTTAGGGTGCCTCTGATCTTTGTACGTCATGGTGGGAAGGCTGACCCACATAGTTGTATTTAGGGTGCCACTGATCTTTGTACGTCATGGTGGGAAGGCTGACCCACATAGTTGTATTTAGGGTGCCTCTGATCTTTGTACGTCATGGTGGGAAGGCTGACCCACATAGTTGTATTTAGGGTGCCACTGATCTTTGTACGTCATGGTGGGAAGGCTGACCCACATAGTTGTATTTAGGGTGCCACTGATCTTTGTACTCAATGGTGGGAAGGCTGACCCACATAGTTGTATTTAGGGTGCCACTGATCTTTGTACTCAATGGTGGGAAGGCTGACCCACATAGTTGTATTTAGGGTGCCTCTGATCTTTGTACGTCATGGTGGGAAGGCTGACCCACATAGTTGTATTTAGGGTGCCTCTGATCTTTGTACGTCATGGTGAGAAGGCTGACCCACATAGTTGTATTTAGGGTGCCACTGATCTTTGTACGTCATGGTGAGAAGGCTGACCCACATAGTTGTATTTAGGGTGCCACTGATCTTTGTACGTCATGGTGGGAAGGCTGACCCACATAGTTGTATTTAGGGTGCCACTGATCTTTGTACTCAATGGTGGGAAGGCTGACCCACATAGTTGTATTTAGGGTGCCACTGATCTTTGTACTCAGTGGTGGGAAGGCTGACCCACATAGTTGTATTTAGGGTGCCTCTGATCTTTGTACGTCATGGTGGGCTACACACATAAAGATTTAGGGCGCCTTATCATGGTGCTCCATCAATCTCCAAGAGTCAAGCATTTCAGTTCTAGGCCTTCACTGTCTTCTGGTCGAGAGAACATCTCTCTGGCTTCTGTCTCTAGAAATAAGCTGAGTTAATTATTTTCTTATTACACATGATTGAGTCCCGGAAACATGACCTGAAATCAATTAAGCCACATACACGTCCATTGTCAGTGCTCAACATTCTGGGGAATGTGCCCTGTGGGGAGAAAATAGGTCCCCAGTTACCTGTGCTAATCATAGAAAGAGACTTAGTTATCAGGCATGGTTGATTGCACATCATCGTATACTGACGACAACATAGGACGTGGCTCATATCAACTCCCTAAAAAAAATTAAGAAAAATACTTCCCATTCATGTATTCAGGAGCCTTATAGGTTATCAAATTTCCTTTAGAAAAATGTTTTTAAACACTGTAACTAAATGTATATCATTTGGTGATCTATTTTTTTAATTACACGTTTACCAAATGAAACCTGCCAAGTCACAAAACACATCCTCCTTTTCCAAAAATCTGTATGCTTGAGCCTAAACTAGTTTGGGCATATCTTGGTGTTATTTTTTTAAATATTCAAAACAAACCCTTACTGTAATACCAACTTTTTGAGCAAATGCATTATTTTGGTGTGTGAGAAAAGTTTAGTTGATTTCTGGAAGTACCACAATGAGAGGCAATCAAAATGGAAGAAATACAACCATTCTGTTGACTAACTGTACCACTGCCATCAACTTGGCACATCAAGGTGAACGCATGGCTCTCTTGTGTGTAATCTCAGTTTTAACATTCATGTTTTTAAATGAACATGTAATGTTGATCACAATTTGTTGTCTGACATCTGGGGCAAACCCAAATTGATCCACACATGCTTACCCAAAATAAGTTACTACCAATCTCCAGATAAAAAACATGTTCGAGGTTTTAGGTATGGAATTCATAACAAACGACTTTTGTATTCTTATATTTGGGAAGAAACGATGGACAGATTCAGGAAGAGAATATATGGAAGTCAACTTTATTATGAGGAACACAATGTTTCGGAGTATATGCTTACTCCTTTATCAAGGAGTCATGCAGGAGTAAGCTTATACTCCAAAACGTTGTGTTCCTCATAATAAAGAAGTTGACATCCATATATTATCTTCCTTATGTGTATCACTTCTAAATGCTTTTCAAAGACCTGATGGACAGTTATATTACAGTTATATCACGGCGTGTCAGCTTAATGTGTGAGGAAAGCCCGAAGTGATGCAGGTCTCAGACATTTACCACTTCGGTGAAACCCACGAGCACGGGTATGGTGCTGACAAACCTAGAAACATAATCAGGGCGAACCGGGATTCGAACCCACAATCTTAGGTTTCTGGCGTGCCCAAGGGATGCAACTCTGCACAGCGAATCGCGGCACCTCAGATGACTCCCGTGCCCCCTGGATTGTTAGAATATGATATGCTTTACATGTTAGATAAATTAACACCCAACCCCACCCCACCCCACCCCACCCCACCCCACCCCACCCCACCCCACCCCACCCCACCTCACCCCACCTCACCTCCACATAAGTTTCACTTTGAGTTGACTCGTGAAGATCCGGGGTAGAATAGGTCTTTAGCAACCCATGCATGCCACAAAAGCCGACTATGCTTGTTGTAAGAGGCAACAAACGGGATTGGGTGGTCAGGCTCGCTGACTTGGTTGATGCATATCATCGTATCCCAATTGCGCAGATTGATACTCATTATATCAATCACTGGATTGTCTGGTCCAGACTCGATTATTTACAGACAGCCGTCAGACAGCCGTCATACAGCTGAAATATTGCTGAGTGCGGTGCTAAACAACAAACACTTTGATTACCGTAATGAGAGTGACAATGTGGATTTGAATGTCACACAAACATTTCACTGAACAGTTGTCTTCCATATTCTTATGTACAATCGAGCATGCTCTTTCTACAAAGGTTTCAAAGAGCATCATATGACTTTTGCTTGTTGTTTGATCAAAACTTCAAAATTGTCAAATCTTTTATTGAGGACATTTTTAATTTGATGCATCAGTGACAACAATGTTGTCCAATGCAATTCCCTATGTTGACATGTACCATATGTTCCTGTTGGGATTTTTTCAGGCTAACAATTGACATGCCTTTGAATGTGTTTGTGATGGGTGCTACCCATGGAGCAGGATACGCTCATCTTTTCGCAAACACCGGATATCATCACTATTTGATAGTGAATCACGAACACTCGTGATATATGTTCAGAATTCTACAATTCACTTTTATGATTATGGTTTTTTGTGTTTTTCCAATAAAACAACTTTTTCCAATGGGATAACAGCTTCTCATTTTTATGTGTTTCCAATGGAATTACAGCTTTTCATTAATAACATCTTTTCCAAAGGGATAACAGCCATTCATTTATAACATATTTTCAAATGGGATAACAGCTTTTCATTAATAACACCTTTTCAAATGGGATAACAGCTATTCATTTATTACATTTGTTCCAATGGGATAACAGCTTTTCATTCATTACATCTGTTCCAATGGGATAACAGCTATTCATTCATTACATCTGTTTCAATGGGATAACAGCTGCTCATTTATCACAGCGTTTCCAAAGGGATAACAGCTATTCATTTATTACATCTGTTCCAATGAGATAACAGCTGTTCATTTATCACAGCGTTTCCAAAGGGATAACAGCTATTCATTTAAAAACTTTTCCAATGGAAGATTGGTATTACCATTGGGTAACAACTTTTTGAGAACATGAATGTTAACAATTTATTTCATTCTATGCGTTGAACTCATGCTTTAAATTCACAGAATCAATTCTTTGATTACTCATTTATTTAGTTCATTCGGTGCAACTTTATGTCATACACAATGATAAACACACACAGATAAATACTTTTATCAAAATTATGCAAACCTATTTCATGAAAACTCTCTAGAAAAAACATGAGTAATCTGCTTTGATTTAGTCATAATTGTTTAACGCATGAACATACTATATAATTGACATTATGAAAATATCATCAAAATCCGGATGTATTTACATGATTATCTCGATAAAAAACAATCTATCACAAATCAATACTGATATCATCCGTTAAAGGTCAAAGGTTAGTACAAGGTCAAGGGCAAACGTCTGGTTCACTATGACCTACAACCTGGTCAAGTCACTTGTGATGACTTCAACTTCTTGTGTGCTATTCACAGTACTGTACAATGTCATCTGGGACGAGATGACCTCGATATCATCGCTCACCATGCTGCGCGTTGTAGACTGCGTTAATTCTGCGTTAGACTGGTGGGTTTCCTGCACCCGGCTTTCATCATTACAGTTATTGTTCTGTCCATTAGAAATCACGCTCACAGCTTTCCGACTCCTTTTACGCGAACTATGAACAATCCTTGAGAAACTGCGAGAAAACCTAGTCATGACTTCATGAATCTGAGCTGTTCTGTATCCATGGACTATGCCGCTGATGAAAGATTTTGTCAGGAATACTGGAATAAAATACACAATGTATCTCTCAGCAACAAGCCTGTCCCTGAAATAACACACATCACAGTAAACAGCCAGGTAGACGAAGAACGGCAGATAACACAGTACCCACAGAACCATGTCAATAACGGCCGTTATAACCAACGTGTGATATTTCTGAAACTTGGTACTATTTGGGGACAGGAAGCTACGATGCGACTGGATAAGCGTGATCTTCTTCCTCATGTACATCGTGATGAGGATGTTCGACACAAATATAACTATCAACATGAGTGAGAAGAACAGAAGATAATGCCAGGGATGGAAGACAAAGAATCGCAACACGTGGATCTTCCCGTTTGTCTGACTCCATCCCATCTGCGGAAGAAACCCGACAACGAAGGACAAGTTCCACAGCATCACCATCACAGTGATCACGTTCTTCTTGTCCATTGGATGTCCTAGGTTCAAAGGTTCTGCAAGCTTCATGCAGCTGTCTATGTTGAGGGACAGAAGAGACAATCCCGAAGCAAAGGATGCTGTGAAAAACAAGCTCTCAGCCAGGAAGAAGTTGACAAGAAGCTTGTCCAGGCACATATACATCGCAATTTTGAAGAGCCCGTAAATTCCGATCAAAGAATCACTGACACACAAGCTTCTGATGAACACAAGGGTTGGACTTTTGCCTCCGCTTGTGAACTTGGATGCAATGAGAACTATGAGATTACACATGGTTGTAAGGATGGCAGCAGTCAGGATCAAACTCAGTTCAACATTGGGGATTTCGGGAAAGGGTTCTGTTGTATTTTGAGTTGAGTTTAGGGCTGAGTTGACGGTGGTCAGATCGCGAAGCAGTGTCGAGCTGGAACTGTTTCCAGCCAAGGTTGATGTTTGTAGGGTTTCTGGAGAAGTAGTTTTAGCTGTTGCATTAATGACTGGTTCGACTGTAACGTCAGTTGGTGTTTCCCTGGCGTAACAGCTGGTATCGATTCCACATTGCATGTCTTGGAGGAAGGCACAAGGGGATGAACTCAGTATGGATATATCATGTATCGCACTGTTTCATGGACAGAATAAAATGCAGTCTCATTGAGACTATTCCCCTAAAGTTCATAGATACATGGACTTCTTACAACTGTCATTGCATGCATGAGTCATCACATCTGAAAAAAACATTAGCACTTTCCCTGCAGTTACATTCAGTATATTCACTTCTTCACAATATACAGTTTTGTAAAAAAATTATAATTTGTCAATATCATCTAGGATATCAAACAATAATATTTGGGGGGAAAAATACCAAACTGACCGTTATTTACATCAAATCCTCAAATACTCATCCTATATCCTCAAATGAATTATCTTTCCAAAATGTTGAATAATGGCATGTACATATCAATGGCAATATGACGATCGACACAGGCACATATATACCAATGTAAAAAAATATTCAATATGCCAATATCACAAACACACATCAATTTCCAGAAAATAGGTTTCATGAGCATGCTATTAGCAAATCCCTGCTCGTACTGACAACAGACAGTCCATCAGCGCCAGAGGAAGGATCTCACTGACAGACATCAGACAGGCATTAAGACACTAATCCAGATTACATCAAATGATCCTATCATTGATTCTCTTAGCCATTACCACAAGGCTTCTGCAACACTTACTCCAATAACACCACACTTACATCCATCATATAATATGTCCTGCTGCAGAGACCACAGCACACATGCCTCTCATTTGGCCGACATTAGTTTTCCTTATATAAATGATGGGGTTTCCTCAAAATTACATTCCCGAAAAGGATGATGAATATTTGTCTCAAGCTGAAATCTCACGGCAAGGTACAAAACTTTGTACAGGGTGACTCATTTGGAAAATCGGTCATCGTGTTCTTGGTTGCATGTGTAGGTATTTATTGAACATGGCCTCAGACAAATCGGATTTACTGTAACCTGAAATGGAAGCAAGTGTTGTCAACAATCTACCTATTTACTGACAGAATAATTCCAACTGATATTCTCAAATAGGATCATGAAGGGTGATCGTGAACTATACAAATATTTTACGAGAAAATATAAACCCTGATGACCATGTTTTTCTTATTCTAACAAAAGGTGAATAAAAACAAAAATAATAAATTTAAGAAAAAATTAATCCTTTGTATTTGATTTATCTAGTTGTCACACTATAGATAATTTACTATTACATCTTGTAAACAAACATTGTAAGTCATTAAAGTCTGCCTCTGTTTCCACTGCATCAAGCTCCTAACAATGAAGTATGAGTATGGCACCCTCTCCCTTTATTCATTGATGTTGAGCTCCATACAGTGACATCTAGTTGTGAACGACTCAAAATAAAGCTCGAGTTACAAGTGGAAATGCTCCTCACAGTGAAGGCTAATGTTAATGAATAAATGTTAACACAATAAAACCTAAGGAATAAAACTTACTGGGACATTTGCGCTTTAGGACATTTGCACTTATAATATCAATAGGGCTACTCAGTAGAACATTAGCCTCAGAACATATATCCAGCTGTAGAGAGCAGTATGTTATCCAACACAACCAATGACCTACATCTACACAACCAATGACCTAGATCTACACAACCAATGACCTAGATCTACACAACCAATGACCTAGATCTCCTCACAGGGAAGTAACGTTCCCAGGCAAGGGGGTACTATTCCCTTTCATGAAAAAAAGTCAAAACCGAGTAACCCATGCCACGCAACAGTCTCTTGCAACAAAGTTGGAGTCATATCAAATCCTCCTATCGGCCAGGTGCTGAACTCCAAACATCATCGTTGTGACAACCCTGCTGTATAATGACATATACAAGAGATATCATCTACAAGAAACACTTCACAAACAGCTCAATATATCACAACAAATTACATTCATCCTGATGTCCGTGTTAGTTGTTTCACTAGTTTGTGCCTTGATGTTAAAATGACTTCAGCATATATTTGCACATCTGGTACCAGGGGATCCTCAGGCTATCACAAATGAACATCCGCTGAATCTATAGTTGATACCTTTCAGTCACCGTCCTCACTAGCCTCCGGGCAATTTTGCTTTGTTCTAATTCAAGCTTGTCAGTCTCTTCTTCGTGATATGCAAACTAGCCAGAGAAAAGTTTCATTTCCTGTAAACTACAAGCCTTTGTTTGTCTTCTTGGGAGGACAGTCACACAATGTCCTGGGACTACTTTATAAGTATTTAAACATTAATATTGCAAAACTTCAAGCTGAGCAAGAAAGCTCACAACCGGAGACGAGTGTATCGAATCTGAATAATTGAGACTGTAAACTCACAATGTACAATCTGTAAAAGGTTTCTCTAGATTTCAGAAATTCAGCATTCCATTTATTATGTTCAAATTGGATCTTGGCACTCCAAAAATCATCTGTTAACACTGTGTCACTCAAACATAATATTTTCTATATTTGGTATAGTCACATCTAAATCACAAGCTTTCCTTGAACAAATCCTTGATTGACTTGATCACCAGTGACACATAATAATATAACTCAAATGTTATAGCTTTCTAAAGCTGTTCGCATTGTGACATAAGCTTTCCTGATTTACCCAAATCTGTCTCCACCTTGGTGTTGTGTAGACACAATATACAGAAGAACAGGCAGCATCTGTGATGAAACATGAACAGAGATATATATCAAATAAGTTGAGAGTGTCGGTAAGTCCCTCCAGCAACACTCACAGTAGGGGGGCTGTGTTTCTCCTGGTCCCTCCAGAACAAAGTCTTCAGAACTTCATATACACAGCAGAACTTGCGCAGAACAATTGTGAACAGTGACAAAAATCTTCCACTTTGTTGAGTGTTCAAAGTTTGGCAAATCTTCCTGCAACACTCACCATATGAGATTATGTCCAGAACAGGGCCTTGAGAACAGAACTTGCTCAGAACAATTGTGAACAGTGACAAAAATCTTCCTCTTTGTTAGTTGTTCAAAGTTTGGCAAATCTTCCTGCAACACTCACCATATGAGATTATGTCCAGAACAGGGCCTTGAGAACAGAACTTGCTCAGAACAATTGTGAACAGTGACAAAAATCTTCCACTTTACTGAGTGTTCAAAGTTTGGCAAATCTTCCTGCAACCCTAAAAGTTTTAGACTGTGTTTCATAAGTATTCAACTAGGACCTCCAGATCTGCACAGATAGAACTCGCCCCAACTGTGAACCACTTGAAACTTACACACGGAACACTCTATTGAAAAGTCGTCTCTCCATCATGGCAGAAGTTCTTGACAGTTTGATATTTATAACACTTGAAACAAACACTGACAGCCTGTTGTGAAGCTGGCCCAGTCCGACACGTTCACTGGTCCAGTGTGTGTTCATCGCAATCCCACCTGTCCGCTTGCACTAATGACAATACACTGCTTCCGACAATCACACTCTAAACCTGTGTCCCTTTGGCCCTGGACCAATCAATACATGGCCAGGTCTGCCAATCGACAGCCAGATAGCAGTGTCGACAGTTGTGGACTGTAGAAAGGTGTAATTAGGAAACTGCATGGCAGATAATCAGTGTAGTGTCTCATTAAATGCTTCATGATCACACTGGCTTGTCTCATCACCGTATCCTTTATTGCTAAACACTGACATGCTGAGACAACAGTCCCCCACCAGTTGACATTATTCAATGGAGACGGAAAGGTAGTGGTAGCTGGTGACAGATTAATAAACTAGATATTTCACAGATTATCATTTTATACCTATATATATATATAGCAGATAATCAAGATATGTCTTACTAGATTTAGAATTAATACATGGTATCAGAGAAATATTGCCATGTGATTAATAAATAAATGAGAGTATGGTTTAACGCTGCTTTAAGCAATATTCCAGCAATATCACGGTGGGGGACACCAGAAATGGGCTTCACATATTGTACCCATGCCAGGTCTTCGGAATGACAAGCAAATGCTTTAACTACTAAGCTACCCCACCCCGCTGATTAATAAATGAATATGTCACTGTGAAATTCTGATTCTTTGTGGTACGTAAGTATATTTTGTACAGAATACCAGATTCAGGATCAACACCCCCACCATCCGCTGTACCATGAGACTATGGAGGCGGTCGTCTTGTTACGAGAGTTCTGAAGATGAGCGAGTGATGCAGTCTTTAGACATTTACCTCTACCATGGGCCATGAGAATGTAAAAACATGAGTGAGTGAGTGAGTGAGTGAGTGAGTGAGTGAGTGAGTGAGTGAGTGAGTGAGTGAGTGAGTGAGTGAGTGAGTGAGTGAGTATGGTTTTACACCGCTTTTAGCAATATTCCAGCAATATCACGGCGGGGGGACACCAGAAATGGGCTTCACACATTGTACCCATGTCGGGAATTAAACCCAGGTCTCCCGCGTGACGAGCAAACGCTTTAACCACTATGCTATCCGTAACCACGTGACGAGCGAACGCTTTAACCACTATGCTATCCATAACCATTCTTTGATTTGTTTATGAAAATGTGTAGACTTGTCAAACATGAAATGGATGAAAAGCATATGCAATATCTTGAATGGACTGTGACAGATGTGACGAATTGTCACATGGCGCTGGCCTGTCGCAGAGCAATCTCATTACAATCAGATCTTCTCTCTGCCGCTAAACAAAGATCTGAGGACATCCAATTATGGGTCACGTCAGACCGACCTTTCGCAAACTCTGACCGACCAATGGAATTACTGACAAGAAGTCGACATTAGCCAATCAGGAGGCAGCTTTCTCGTGCTTTACGGCACTAATTTCAAATTGGCGACTACGCTTCGAAACATATTTTGACAAATTTTCGCTTAAAACTTTGAAACCTGAACAAAAGAACGTTCTAGAATGGCTATTATATGGTCCAGATTGTATAGATTCAATCGTTAAGGCCGTAACTATCATTCTGAATACCCCGTTTTAATGTTTTCGAGGCTGCATGATTAGAAATCACATTCCGACTGTCACTTTCATGATTTGGTAAGCAACGCTCTGATTGGTCGGATGAAAGGTCATTCTGACATGACCCCTAATGGGATGTCCTCAGATCATTGTTTAGCAGTAGCGAGCACTAAGATATGATTTTAATGAGATTGGTCAAGGGGGATTAAGCCATCTTCCCGAGGCAAGAGGTGTTAACTGACTTTAAAAGTCCAGTTTCCACCCTTGCCGAACTAGGCTGGTATTATGGAGTTACATTTTGGCTAAACTAACGAGTCTATGCATAGTCCAATCAAAATCGCGCAACAAAATCGAAATCCGGTTCGTAAACTGTCGTGCAGATTTCGGTCGATTGCAGGATTTGCAAAGCATGTGCACCGCCAACTCGTTGCTGGAATTACTGGATCGTAGCACAAACCAGTGGCTATTACCAGTTATATTTCTTCTTAGCCTCTCCTATGGACCAATCAGTTTTCACCTCTCGTATCACTTGCGTTCGCTTCACACAAAGTAGTGGCGTCCGGTCAGGACGATCTGATTGATAATCAAGATCTATATTGTGATAAGACGGGTTTTACATAGTGAAATGCATCAAATCACGTGAGCACCTTGATTAAAAACATGAAAAGATTTGGAAAATATCTGCTGACAACGAGTTGGCGGTGCACATGCTTTGCAAATCCTGCAATCGACCGAAATCTGCACGACAGTTTACGAACTGGATTTCGATTTCGGTGCACGATTTTGATTGGACTATGCATAGACTCGTTTGTCCAGCCAAAATGTAACTCCATAATACCAGCCTAGTTCGGCAAGGGTGGAAACTGGACATTTATAGTCAGTTAACTCTCTTGCCTCGGGAAGATGGTATTATGCTGGCTGCCGGCCGCATGGAACTCTGGGTAGGAGAGTGGATATTGACATATTATAGCTGGCATTCAAACCAGAAAACAGCCAATGAGGCGGAGTGAGCGGCTGACTGTGACTGAATAAAAGAGTGTGGCTGAAAGTGTGCGGAGTGAGTGGATGAGTGAGTGGGGAAGTATTTGGAGTGAGTGAGTGAATGAGTTTGTCCTAGATCCTCATCTTACTTAGCTCTGACAACAAGCTAAGGGCAATCAATTTGCGGTGAGCAGTACATGACAGCCGAACTAAGAGCAGTGATAAACCCCATCCAAATGAATCCAATTGATGTAATACATACATCCAAGATGACAGCTGAAAGCATCAGACATGTCGTGATGATTGAATGCAGCGTCAGACAGGAACTCGCCGTTAAACCATGTCATCGGAGTCAACTCCCAAACGTCCTCATTTGTCTGCATGTTTTTTAAGTTTCGTGTCCTGTGTATGACAGGATGGATATTCTTCCATTGACAACAAACATATTATTGACAGAAAATGCTGATTTATCATTACAAAGCTTTTATCAGTCGGAAAAGAATTATCACTGTTTAGTCAATACCTTTTCAACCAGTAATTTATTGATTACTAACACAACTTACATGACTGATGTTGTGTTTTCTCCTGATGAGGGCTCAGAGGATGGTCATACTTAACAGGAAATTGCTTTTTCCACTTGACAACAGCGAAAAAGTAAGTGATTGAATTTGTGAGTGGTGAGTTAGGCTGGAGGGTCTATGTCCTATAGGGTACTACAGAAACATACCACAGGGACCTTGCTGTTTTGTTTTTTGTTTTGTTTGTTGTCTAACGCCACACTCAGCAATAGTCCAGCTATATGACGGCGGTCTGTAAATAATCGAGTCTGGACCAGATAATCCAGTGATTGATAACATGAGCATCGATCCATGCAATCTGGATTGATGACATGCATCAACCAAGTCAGCGAGTCTGACCACCCGATCCTGCTAGTCGCCTTTTACGACAAGCATAGTTGCCTTTTACGGCAAGAATGGGTTGCTGAAGACCAATTCTACCCCGGATCTTCCCGGATCGGAACCTTTCTGTATCTCCCTGTAATCGTAAAGCACCCTGTACCCTGACTTACTACTGAATGGCACCAATGCAACTTGGTGAGTCCATGGAAGGGAGACCTATTGAACAAAGATCTGCATTAGTCTGTCCAGTGATAAGTGCCCATCACGTAGAGTTATTTGCCATCACAGGTGCTAATTAATCCTTTTGTTTAACCACATTCTGATACACATTGGAAAGAGAAAAAAATTATTTTAACCATTGAAAATTTATACATTGACAGTAAGTGAGTGAGTGAGTGAGTGAGTGAGTGAGTGAGTGAGTGAGTGAGTGAGTGAGTGAGTGAGTGAGTTTAACAGTATTCCAATTTATCACTGCGTGTCAGCTTAATGTGGGAGGAAAGCCCGACGTGATGCAGGTCTCAGACGTTTACCACTTCAGTGAAACCCACGAGCACGGGTATGGTGCTGACAATCCTAGAAACATAATTGGGGGGAACCGGGATTCGAACTCACAATCATAGGTTTCTGGCGTGCCCAAGGGACGCAACTCTGCACAGCGAATCAAGGCGCCTTAGACGACTGGGCTACCTGTACCCCCTATACATTGACAGAGATTGACAAAAGAAATGATGCATTTCAAGGAGAGTGAGTGAGCATTGTTTTACGCAGCTTTTAGTAATATTCCAGCACTATCACAGCGGGGTCTCAAGAAATCTGCGCTTTACACATTGTACCCATGTGGGGACCCGAACCGTGTCTTCAGTGTAACAAACAAACACTAGGCTAGGTCGAATACGGTATTTCACTTTTTCTTAAACTGCCATTGAATTATTAAAACTGAAATTGGCCTCTTCGTCTGGAACAACTGATGTCCCAATGAACTGTAACATTAACATTTACAGAGCTACAGATAAGCAGTGTATTTGCGTAAAATACCCTCCCAAAAATATTCAAAACCCAATTACTTTCAATTAACTTGCATACAGAAACGCATGCATTTAATGAAAAACTGAAATGTATAAAAAATGCCAGCGTAAAAACCCAATGAAGCTCTTTCAGCATGCGTACAAAGGAGCTTATTTCCGAAACACAATTCCGAGCTAATTTCCTTTCTAAGTTAAGCCTATATATATTTCGAACAGTTACATACATCTTAAACATTATTCCATTTTTTTTAAATTGTTAAATGTTCACTAATTTTGGGGAAACCCCAATAGAATGATGAATAGATGAGTGAAAAATTATTGGTTACCCAAAGAAAAATGTAATAACCAAATTAAAATAGAAACCCTACAGTAAAAACTCAATTGCCAAAACGTTATCTGGAGCTCTGCATTTATTCAATTAATACAAGTTCCATAGCATCATTTGGCCAATCCTGATACCTGTGATCGAACCATCTGTTCTGCCTCTGGCTGGTCTAGTTAAGTCCTTTTGTGTGTGAGGCTATTAGCAGGGGGTGGGCAGCTGTGAGATTGTTGAA